GAAGAAGCTGAGAGCCTGAAGGATGGTTAGATGATGAGCCTGAGGAGATAGATGACCCAGATGCAACTAAACCAGAAGATTGGGATGACGAGAGGATGGTGAGTGGGAAGCCCCTAAAATTGATAACCCAAAGTGTGAAGCAGCCCTGGTTGTGGTGAGTGGAAGAGACCAATGAAGAGGAATCCAGCTTACAAGGGAAAATGGCATGCTCCCCTCATTGAGAACCCCAATTACAAGGGTATATGGAAGCCTCGGGACATTCCTAATCCAGACTACTTCCAACTTGAGAAACCTGATTTTGAGCCTATTGCTGCTATTGGCATTGAGATTTGGACAATGCAAGATGGCATCCTCTTCGACAATATTTTGATAGCCAAGACGATAGTATTGCAGAGTCTTATCGGGAGACTACATGGAAGCCTAAATTTACTGTTGAGAAAGAGAAACAAAAGGCTGAAGAGTTGGCTCCCGAAGCAGGTGGCCTTGCAGCTTACCAGTAAAACGCAATTGGCAGTATTCTTTTCCTTGGTCTCTTCCGTAATTTTTATTAACCTCCCCCTCTCACTTTCATATGCACGGACACATAGATTTTGCTTTTTCGCCCTCTCACGCTCATTGAAATTTCAATGTTGCAGAAGAAGGTTTTTGAGCTCTTATACAAGATTGCGGACATTCCCTTTCTCAGTTCCTACAAGCTTAAGATATTTGTAAGTAATCATCTTTGATATTTTTTCAATTCGGAATTCATTACGTTTCACCTTGTGGTATGTGCCCCTAAACTTAATTTTCCCCGCAGGATCTGGTTGAAAAGGCAGAGAAGCAACCCAATCTAACGATTGGAATTCTTGCATCCATTATAGTAGTCGTCTTGACAATTTTCTTCAAGATTATATTTGGAGGGAAGAGGCCTGTGAGTAGCTAAACTCCTTTGATTTTTTTTTTTGCCTGTTAAAATATCTGGTTCTCATGTTCTATCATCTATGTTCCTTTGCGGGAAGTTTTGTTCAAATTTGTCTTCTGACCAATTTGTAATCTTTTTGCAGGCAAGAGTTGAGAGGACAAACGAGCAACCGGCAGAAACTTCCAATAATCAAGGCAGTGCTGAGAGAGAAGAGGACGAAGACAGGGAGGAAACATCTGCTGCTCCCCGAAGGACCAAGGCGAGAGACTTAACACCATTGGTTGAATATGGATGGTTGAAACGTGCGGCTATCAGGATCATTGCTTGATAAGTTTTGTGCTTGGTAGAACGAACTTAGGTCGATTCAATAGCAGTTTGTTTTCATAATTCACTTTTGCATTTTGAGATATGGATATGCTTAAGGAGTGTAAATCAGGACGTGCTTGTACAATTGTTTATCTTTATTTTACGCTAGTGGAATTGGATTCCCCCCTTTTTGGGTAAAAGTGGAAGTGGATTTCTTCTGTTGTCATATGAAAGTATGACTAAAAGTGTTGAATAGAAACCAAATTATGGTTTTAAAAAGTGTTTTTAACAGTTTACGAAATAAATATGTAAAGGAATTTGTCTTGTTTTGTGAAAAATATTTTTTAAGGATTGCCAAACACTTCCTAACATGAATAAACATTTTTATGCGACATCACTCAGGTATGAGGAGCCCTAACAATAATAAGAGGTGAAAATTTGATGTGATGAGAAATTTACTGCTCGATCGATCTGCTCCTGGGTTTCTCTCTAATGGGGTACTTTTGCAACACCAACCAAATGGCCCATTCGGATGTTGCATGGAGGGATTCACGCTTCACTATGTCAGAGGTGCAGTAGATTAGCAAAACCAGATGTCTCTCCACACGTAACAATTTCTTTGCATATGAATTACAATAATTATGCTTACGGATATTGGTGGAAAAGGCAACGCGTCTTCCATCAAGTGCTGTTGGACATTTGTACTAATCATTGGAAACCGACGACAATAAGTGAGAGAATCGTGTCCCACCATATATGAAGAATCATTATAGGAATTTAAGAGAAACGTTGAATAGGCGTACCGACTAATTGGCCACTAAAAAATTTTCGACCTTCTATTGTTTACCAACCTTGTTTGCGTGCTGCCATTGGCTGGTCTTCCCAATTATAGTCACTCTTCTATTGCTGAGAGGCTTATGGCTGTCTAGGAGCTTTGTAGGAAACTGGAATCCTAACAAGTAACAAGCGCTGCATAACTTGGTATAAGTTGGTATATAGACTGCAAATTAATGTCTTAGTCACCGCAGCTTCATGATCCACCAAGTGGGTGTTAGATTTCCTTAGGGTTCAAGGAATGGATTCAAGTCAAATCCATTTAAGCGCTATAAATTTGCCAAGTCCTTTTGTCCTTTGAATTGTTCATTCTCTTTATTATATTGAACTGTTTAGAAAGCGAAACCTCCAACGGAGTCTATTCTAAATCATCTCCCTGAACTAAATTAAATATCTCAGGATGCTAATTGGCCTCCATGATGACCTAGTCTGTTACTAGCAGGTTATCATAGTAAATTCCAATCCTTTTCTTCTGTTTCTTCAGCAGACTGTTTCTCTCTCACAGATCATAATAAAATTATTTGCGAGTGTCTACTGTTTCAAATTTTTAACACGTACTTATAACATAATATAATTTAATGTAACATGAGAAGGAGGCAAAGCATATGCGGGTGGTGTCCGTGAATAGAAAACGATTTTGGCTGCTTATCTGTCCGCGACTTTAAACAGGGCACAAAAGTCAAATTCGTGGACGAACTCGAGCAGCTTCCTCCAAGTGTCAAAACATTTGCGCCTCCTTCCACTTGTTGCAAATAATATCAAATCCACCTAACCCCGAAAACGCCAACTGCTCCAAATCTTGCATTTTGATTGAAATCACTCTGCAAAATCTCCTTTTAGTGCTTCTTTAGAACTACTAGCAGCTCATAAATGGAGGGTCTTCTTCCACTTGTGTTCAGAGCAATCAAGAAAAGCAGAACTCGCCGACAGTATCACTGTCTTTCAACCGGAGCTTCTCTCAGCTACATCAACATGGCCGAGATCTGTCCTCAGACTGAATCTCAAAGCCATGTCTATGAGACAGCTCCCACCCAGAAAGTGGCTCATCATCATCATCTTTATGCAGGGAACGACCATGATCATCGTCATCATCGGCGACATAAATCTGTGGGAGACTTCGATTATGGGTTTCCGTCTGCTCACGAGGACAGAACAGACCGTGGCTCTTCCCCTCCGAAGCAGCTAGTGCGATTTGGAAGTCATAGAATGTTTTCATGTGTCAATGGTGTCTAAGGTTGAAGCACCTTATTGATTTGCATATTTAATAAAAAGGTCGAAGGTTTAACCTCGATCCCAGTAATGTTTCTTCTGTGAACTCCTTTCTGGGTTGAATTATATCTGCACTTTCTTTCCGCTTCAGAGATTCTTGCTATGCCAAGATTTTTGGCTATCATTCAACAAAAGAAAAAAGAATTAGCTATTAGGTTTGCGGGATTCATCACCTCCCTTTCAAAAGTGAAGAGAGATGCTGGATTCCGCATATTCAGATCCGGATCGGAGGGAGAAACGGGCATATTTTGATCATTTTGATCTTCCACTGGACCCTGCTACAGTGAAGGGTGAAAAATGGATGATCAGCAGTCGCGGTGTCACGTTCTTGATATCTTAGCTTAATCAATGCCCTTGCGATTAAGGTTTTGGTTTGGGACTGTGCCTTTGTATATGTCCGGTTTTTCACGTTAGAGTTATATATATATAGTACGAAAGTTTGTAAAATTAGTTATTTGTAATGAATAGATGTTATATTTTTTAAATAATTTTATTACTTAGGTGTATTAGTTAAAAGTAGTATTTGATAAAAATTTTAAGGGAAAATTAAACTGTGGATCCTTATAGTTTCACTAAATTTTGAATTAGCTCCTCATAGTTTTTTTCTATTTTATCCCCTCCTTATTATTTCCTCAGTTATCAATCTTGGTCCTTCTGTTATGCATACCGTTAGTTTAGATTGATTAGGGGTTGACATGGCACTGAATAATGTCTGACTAAGCATATCATCTTCCTCACAGTTACCTCCTCCTCTGTTGGATTCTCTCTCTCCCCCTCCTCCGCACAATTTCCTTCAAAGTAACATCGTTACCTGTCTCTTTCTCCAGCACCATCATCTTTAATTATCTCCTCTTGCAGAAGCCTCATTTTGTGTTCCAGATTCATCACTTCCTTGTTGTGACTGTAATTGTATCCTCCTCCTCCCCCATTCTTGCCATCTCCCTTGGTGATCGATCTCTCTGCAGCAACAGAACTCGAGTCGACTGACAGTAAGTAGCCAGCTTTGCTTAGATCGTGGTGCTCAGCTGCTAGTTGTCCTGACTCGGCTTCGGCTCTTGCGGCAACGTGGAGATTCCACAATCGTTCCATCTTCGGATCTAATGACCGGCGTCATGGGGTCGAGGAATGAGAGGTGCCTACTCTGAGATATATTAACACTTGAGTAGATTGGTCCTGCTAAAATGGATAGAACGTGGTGGGACCTAGTGGAAGCAGCAAGAACTTTCAACTCTATCAATAATTCTTTCTCTTTGTGAAAAACAAATGAAGATGTTGACGAAGAAGAATCTGAAACATGGAGAGGAGGAGATGAAGCCATAGAAGTTCTTTCCAGTTCTTTCATTGTATCTGTGTAAATTGGTGCCTCCCATGATAATGTTTCTGACAATTTAAACAATGATGATACCAATCAAACTCCTAGAACAAGTTCCAACTTTGCGTTCTTCTCTGATCCAGCAAGTGTCGTCATTCTCCTAACACAATGACCACCACTAAAGAAAATATTAGCTTAGCAAGAATGAATGGGTTCTAATAGCTTGGGGGTAGTAACGTCATTCTGTAGCACGTGCTTTGTCGAGGAGGGAGAGAGGAATTTGACGAAAGAGGAGGTGCTCTATGGATGAGGGAGAGGGAGAGTCTGACGAAAGAGGAGGTGCCTATGAGGAAGATGGTGTGCTTAGTGAGGCATTATTTAGTGCCATGTCAGCCCCTAGTCAACCTAAACTAACAGCATTTATAACAGAAGGACTAGGATTGATAACCGAAAAAACAATAAGGATGGGATAAAATAGAAAAAAACTGTAAGGACCTAATTCAAAATTTAATGGAACTATAAGGACCCACAAATTCATTTTCCAAATTTTAACATGTATAACTATTATAAAGATTACTTTAAATAAATAAATAAATATAAAAGATAAAATAAATTAAAATCTTATATTTAAAATTAAATTGAATGTTAAATTTACTCCTATAATAGTATTAATGAACGGAGGTAGCATGCATCAGCATGTGTAGTGCAGTTTTTGACGACTTCTGTAATTTCTGCCATTCATAGTGTTTAGTCCGCTCATTTGTGAAGATATTAACTTGGTTAAAATATTCTGTTGGATCATGATTTTGATTTAAATTTTAACCAGCTCATACTATTCACATAATTTTTGAAATTACTCTGATCAGGTTTTCGATTTTTCTTTTTAATAACCATCACAAACTAAAACTAAGATTTACCATAACAAAACACATGATTTTTATTAATCTGTTATATTACGAGAGACTAACTCGTTCCCGTTAAATTCAATCAGTTGCTGCGAAGACATAGTTTAAATGTGTTTGAGTGCTAAATTAACAATAGCGGACGACCAAAAATAACAGCGGCAGCAGCCCAGCCCAAATTAGATAACGTGGCACATTCTGGATAGTCGATCTCTTCAACGGTTGAGATACACGGCCGCACTTAATCCCTTCCCCATTCGACAGCATGCTGCGTGGCTCCTTATTTCGTCGAACGGGAAATTTTGGAGGGAAAAGGGGAGAGATCAGTTTCAGAGGGGCTCTCTCCTCTGGCACTAATTCATCTCAAATTTTTTGCCGCTCTTGTTCAATTCCTTACTCTATTTTTTTCTTCCCTTAAGTTTAGTTATTTTTTCCTGTACGCTTCCCTTCCATACCAATTTTTATCATTCTTTTGTGACCCGTGTTATGATTGAATTAATAAAGGTTTCAACTTCATCCTCATGTTCGACTCAGATTTATCTTCTTCAGCTAACGATAGTATTTGCAGTATTTCTTACCCTCGCAAGAGAGGATTCGTTGATGATTTTTCTGTAAAGTCCTATTCTGATTCCCCTTCCAAGAAGAAATCGAGAAATATTGCCGGGAAGAGTACAATAACCACTGTTGATTTGAAGCACTTCGAGGTACCTCTGTTTTCATCCTTCAATGTTACCGGTTTGGGTGCCACTCCATCCATCTTCGTGCTGACCGTCCTTGTACGATCGGTCGGAGCCATCGTTATTCTCAATTTGTCTTTCGTGACCCCCGAGTCAGTAAGCAACACTGTCAGATTTTCTTTGACGGTTCACTCCGTAAACTTTATATTCTGGCCGGGATCTTGTTACTTAAGGATTCCACCAAATGTCTTGTTCACGAATTTAGGAATAGGGTAATGTCATGTCATGCTGGTAAGACCGAGGTCCCGGACGGTGTTGGGTTTCGAGCGGCATCTAATGGGATTTTTGTGAACGGGATCAGAGTTAGAAGGGGCAAGGCCGTGGAATTGTTTGCTGGAGATAAGGTCTTGCTAGTTTGTGGAAATCAAGAAAATTGTCATTGTAGTATCCGGAATCGGATTGGGTTTCTTATTCAGAGAATTGACTATGGCGACGGTGGTTTTGAAATGCGTGATGATGATACTGATTTTGAGAGCATGCAGAAATTAAGTAATATGTCCTTATCTGAACATTCCCAAGGGCTCACCTCAAGCGGGAAAAGGAACAAGAGAGTTTTTGCTATGAAGAGAAATGATTTGTATTCAGACAGTGCCATGGCAAATTATAAACGAGTTGTTAACAGAGCAAACTTTCTTTTAGATCGGTGCAGAGACATCTTGTTTAGTGATGATCCTATATCTCGCATACTGCATTCTGTACCAGATGTAAGTCTTGGATGCAAAGGTGCCTGTGGAACCTCATTGAACAACTTTTCAGGCGTGAATTTGGGCAATACTATTAGATTATTGGTGGATAGTGAAGTCCAGTCTAAATGCATTAAGCCAGTTTTGGGGCAGGAATTGCCCCAACGGGTGAAATCATCTGGTGGTGGCAGGCAAAGGGAAAATAAAATCACTGGTGTCTTGCCTTCAACTTCAGACATACTTTATGGGAGCAAAGTAGCGTCGATCGAGGCAAACAGTGACCACCATCACCATCTGTGTGAAAAAGAAAACGTCGGAGCTGCTCATAAGCGTGCTAGTGCTGATCAGAATCCAGATGCCATGCTCTTAGGCGGGGGCTGTCCTACTTCTGCCGGCAAAAAGTTGAAAAGCCATGGAAGCATCTTTTACTCATCACCTGGAAAGAATTTTTACCTGAATCGCCTCGAATTTGCAAACTATGGTTCCTCAGGCCATCATAATGCCATATCTTTACCTGAGCTTCTTTATCCTGTTGAAAGTATTTCAAGGATGTTTATCGCAACACTCACGAGTGATATAAAATGGTTTGACGACTTGTATCTTTCTGTTGTTTTCATTCCTCTCTGTGGCACGCTTTTGTCTAACTGTTGTCTTTTTAACTGTAGATTTTTCTTATCTTCTTCACTGCATTTAAAAAATTAAAAATTGCTGGCAGTCTCTTGAGCATGTATTCATTCTTTTGGTTGTGTTCATACTTTATAATTTATATCACTTCTGAATTCGAACTTCGTTTATATTTGACAATACTAAAACAAGTGTTTTATTAGGTTCTTGTCATATTGTGAGATTCCATTCCATCTACCCGTTACAATTGCTTGTCACAACGCTGAGAGATGCTGGAGCTCAAGACCTGATGATAGAATGTCTATGCCTTACCCAGAATATTCCAACCTAACTGTGGTGTAAGTTATCTTTTAAAGGGTAAATATATGCTGCTTGATTTAGGCCATTATTTTGGTTGCAGAAGTTGGACGAATTATTTAGGCTGACTATCTCCTCTTAGAAAATTTCTTATAGTTTTATGTTGATTAATAGGTACCCTCCATTTCCTGATTCAGTAGCTTTTGGTAATGACCGTAAGAAGCAGGGGATTGCTTGCCATCATCCAAAACTGTTTGTTGTGCAAAGAGAAGATTCTATACGAGTTGTCATTACATCTGCAAATTTAGTGGAAAAGCAGGTGTTCCATTGCCCGACCATTTGCTTACTAATATTTACATATGATATTAGGAATAATAAGAACAAATTGCTCCTGTTATATAACTATGTCAAAATTTTCTACCATCTTTATATAGCGTGCTATAAGATTGTCGTAGATGCATTATTACTCTTATTTTGATAGAAGACATTTTAAAATCTAATATTCAATTATTCATATTAGAAGCTCAAAGGTGCCTCGAATTTTTGGATTTAAGTACTGTAGGACTTGGTATGTAACTT